ACTAGTATTGTCTCTGACGGAACTCTCACGTTTGCAGTAAATAGCAATGCACGGAACTCTCACGTTTGCAGTAAATAGCAATGCATTTCCCATATTTTACATGTGGACAGACAAAAAGGCGAGCTTATTGGAAGCGTCGATTTCTGCATGCTTCCTCGATTCCTTTGATGGCACGGAACCAGGAACACGTCAAATTTTCAGAGGATCGATTATTTCATTGTGATCACCTTTGCTATCCGAATTTGTTTTCTGTTGCTAAGGAATGAACGTGACAAATACCGGAATGGAATCTGATGAAGAATTTATCCGTATAATTAAGGCTCTTCTTCTTTTGTTGGTAAGCTACTTTCACTGTCTTCAAAATTCCCTACTTATTAGTCTCCATGTCGTCCTTCATTGAAACCTCGGCATTTGATGTTGAAATGTGCTGCAATTGTTTTTGTACTGTATGCCAAACGAGGTTTTTAAGATGGAATCTTTATTTACTGGCCTTACGTTTCGACCGCTTCGTCTTCTTCCCTGGAGATAGTCTGAAGCTTTTCGATTTGTTGGCTACTCGAGGTCGAAACGTAAGGCCAGTTAATAAAAATCCATCTCAAAAACCTCGCTTGGCATGCAGTACAAAAACAATTGCAGCACATCCCTGCTTATTGTTACTTACTTACAAATCTCTTCTCCACCGTTGAAAAATGTTGAATGAGGCACACTCAGAATGAGACATGCATGTGAATTGAACATTTAGCTCGCGTATCGAACAGCAGCACGACCTTATGATCGGGCCTGAGCGACGACGGCGGTACGGCCCGGCTGAGCTTTTATGAATAACACCACAAATGAATATGTCGATTCTATAGATTAACATTTATTTAGCCGGATTTTGTAATGATCAGCGTACCTCGCTTCATGATCTTTCTTGGCCGGTAAATGTATGGACTCCACATCCAATAAGTTTTGCGGAGCTAGTTTCACAGCACGCTAGAAACCACGCTGTATTATAGAAACAGATGATTCAGGTACTTCGTGCTTTCCTGGTAAGGATTAGGGATAGAACAATTGGCTAGCAATCTATTAGGTTGGCCAGATTGAAATGTCGTTTTCGATCATCAATTATTTTCATTATAAAAACAATAATGAAGCACATCAACCTGAACCATCTCCTTCACCTGTGTCACAGGCTCATCACCTTTCGTTACGCAAAGCATGGATGCCTACCGCGTAGAACTCTTTCTGGTTCGACTCGAAGAAGTTGGGCACTCAAATTTTGACGTCGTCGCGGTTATCGAATTGGTTTGCTGCTAAGGAGTGTTGCGCTGACCTGGGTCAGTGATAGTCGGACGGCGCCAGACCTGGGCTATATGGCGCTGGAGGTAGAACGTCCCAGCCCAACTCCTCGATTTCTTGTTGCGTGATTTTCGCGACATGTGGTCTTGCATTATCGTGCCATAATTTTTTTACATTGGCCGAAGCGCAGAGCTCGGACTACGCGGGCGCGCTTTTGTGCTCAGGCCTTAGCTGTAACTGTCGTGACCCCACAATCAGCTCTCCATAGTAGGGCCAGTCTTATACTGTTCCACCACACCGTAGCACGACTTTTCTCAGTAGATGTCCGGTTTCAGAAAGGCCCTCAGCTGCCCATCAACCGCAACCCGGCATCTGTCTCAGCGTATTTATTTGTAAGCATCATTTTAAAAATACAGTCAACACGAAAGTCCGAGAACCTTTTTTTTCTTATAAAGTTACGGGGAAGTTTCAGTATTGCATCCAGTGACTCTTAGTCTTGCGTCACCGCAACAGGAATGGGCCAAATCTACTCTCCATCCTGAAGGCCCTAAACAGGCAAATAGGAACTTTGAATTTTTCTTGCACACAACTGAGATTTTCCATGCCAAGTTCGTGCATTGTCGAGGAGCGAGTGCGTGTGTATTTCTCCAGAGTGATTCTAGACTACGAATCCAAAAACGAATTCGTTCGCCACGGTTCTCTACTCTCAGAGTATTGGTATGGCTGAAAGCTTATATGCCTGAATGAGGGCATTCAGAGACCAAAGTGTCACTGCCCAATGTTTAGCATACAATGAGTGGGATTTGTTGGCCGTTTTTCGTTGCTTGAATATATACGCTCAGACGATGATCTGTGATCAGCCATCTTCAAGCATAGATTTTGGCTCGAAGAACATTCGCTCGTGACGCCTAAGATCTCGCATGTGTGCTGATTCGCTCTTCCGAAAGAATGGTCTCCCATCTTGAAAGAGTGGTTGATCTGAAAACAGAGCACAAACGAAGCACATTTCAAATCTTGCCCAACCTAATAGTTAGGCTTAATTGGTTGCACACTCAAATGCCGCAGCGTTTTATATATGCTATTACTGTCTTCCCCTATTTATTACCGATTGCAAGTAATGAGGCTGCCCTAACGGAGCTTTTCAGGTTTGTTGCATAGGCGCATCGTGCCATTTACTTGTATTTATTGTAATGGTCCGCCATAAAGTGTTCCGAAATGCGTTTGGGCGTCTCGCTGCTTGCTATTCTTTATTGAGCGCCTCAATCCTGATTATTTTTGCTGTGTGGGCTGTTCCATGGACTATATGGTGAGTGACACATATGTATGTAGAAATGTCCGTCGAGTGATCCAAGGATATACACCATTTCCAGTCCAAAATGGACACTGTTCAAATTACTCAGTACACTTTCCATCCCAGATTTTTTCAATGATACGCGGGCATTTTTCATTTCAACCCGGTTTTTTCTCAACTATTTAGGACATGAGATTTTGCAAATCAAGCAGACACTTCCTCAAAAACGTCAAAGTACATGTCTTTTCTGATAAAATTCAAGTGTAAGTGGCGAATGGGTTGGGGCCTTCAAATCCTAAAATAAAAGTTGAAAATCCCGTAATGAAAGGCTATCCTCATGTAAATAATGTCAGTAGATATTTTTCTTCAGCAATTCCCCTCTAGGGGACCGTCTTCCCGACTTCAGCAGTCCCTTCTTTCATGCGAATCCTCGCTTTTCTGCCATGTTTTCTGTCTCGAATCACCACGCATACAATGAAATGAAAGCGCCAAACAAACGTGGTTAGGAGGGTGACGCACGAAGTCAGTGGATGCTTTCCTGATCGTGCCTGTAACAAGGAAGTGAGAAAGAAAGCTGAAAGAAGAAGGAAGAAGAGGAAGGAAAGAAAGAAGAAAGAAAATGTAGGAAGTGTAAGGTGTAAAGTGTAGGTGGCGGAGAAAAATTGTGTGAGCTACGACATTAATATGATGGAAAATTACGGTCCATGGCATTTAACAAACCTTCGTCAACTGAACAGGTTGGTTTTATGTTCTTTGCATTTGGTTGTGGAAAGCTCGCACGTTGTACTCAAAAATGTACTACTTTGTTGATCGAGAAGTATATTCTGTATTTTGAGAAGAATATGCTGATGGTTGAGAAGAATTTGCGACCGAAAATAAAGGTGACCATGCTTTATCTGGGCGCTGTCCAGCTTGGTAGGACGAATTAAAATTTGTCCAGAGTACTTTGAAGAATCTCTGGGTGGTACTGAAAAATGTCCACGTTTTTGTTTCTGAAAAGTTGCGACATTGGTTTGGACGCTGTCCATTTTTAAGCAGAAATGGTATAGAATGGTGTGTCTCTATGGCAACACTCCTACCTTGAAGATAGGAATTATAAGGAAATTTGGGATGATCAATGATGTCGGTCATTGTCGAGCGACAGACAGTCTGTTCCGTGGGACGACGTCAGTCACTGGTGACCAACAGCATTGCAAGCTAACCAGACCACATGGAAGTCGCGAGTTTCTCATTTCAGTAATTATTTTGGCACTTAGGCTCGCTTATTTTGGCTTCAATCTGAGATGCTTCCATCTGGTAATTTTTACAATTATATACAATACAGCAATAAAGTCGATCCCTAGGTCTACCTTGTCCACACCACTCATCGTCAGTGCACGGTCAGCGCTCTTTTTATCTGACCGCAATTCACTTGCTTGCATCGGGACTTCAAGAACAAGTCCAGCTAGAAATGTAGCCATTTTGATCCCAACCCTACCCGAAGCTTCTAAACTAGCATATCATGATCCCAACTCTACCGAGTTTAAACTAGCTATCAATGGAAATCTCAAAGATTTTCCCGAAGATGGTGTTATTAAACTTATTTATAGGTTTTGCTATAACTATTATTGTTGCTTCATCCGATTAGAAGCCAATAAAGCCTAGTGCGCCGGAATCTAATCGTCAGGTTCAAAGTCTTGATACCAAGGTACATTATTAAAAACTTTTCCGGATTAGAATATGGAGAGCTATAAATGCAGAACCGAGAAAATTTAATTGAAAAGGAGTTCTCCATCTCAATTCTCATCGTTCAGGCCTATTCCGAAATACATGGAATACTTGAATTTCGCAAGGGTGCGGTATATTTACGATAAGTATTTTATTGGACTCTCGACACTGAGCTATAGGTTATCGCTTCAATAGGTTACGTTTTTGTTTTTTTTTTTTTTTTTTTCGATTTAAGCGGGCTGTAAAGAATTACGAGTCTTCGCCGATCGGTCTTCTGTACATATAAACGGATCAACGGTTGTGCGGTAGTACAGCTCTATATGAATTGAAGTTGAATCGCGCACATCGTTTCAATCACATGTTCCCGATCTTCAAAACTGAGAAAAAGAAAGGAATTTGAGAAAAAGCGTCACTTTGCTCATTGGGCGCACCACTAACGTTCACGTCGTGTAGATAAAGGATTCGTGGGTGTACATCTCGAATCATAAATAAAACGCTCCCCATTCAAAAGCAAAACGAGAAGAAACACTACACCGTTGTTAGAATATGGAGCCATCCACCATCATAGGAGAGCTTAAAGGCGGATTTGACCATGAAAAGGTAGCTTATTGGAAATAAAGGAAGAGGTGGTCAATGGAGCAGGGATAAAGAGGAATTCCATGAGAAAGGAGCCGGAACCCGAAAAATGAGACTCCTTGATTTCCGCATTTGTGCGACTCCCATCTTGTGTCCTCTTCAGCGCTAACGCTCTCTCTGCTATCTGATCGCTCGCCTGATACACCTGCGCGAGTGATAGGCTAGTCGGTGGGTTCCGCGTTTATTGTGCCACAGGAAGAGCCATGTTTGGTCGCCGGGAGCATATCCTTCTATGCGAATGGTGTGATCGCGGCACCCTTGGAGATCCACCTGTCTCCCCACGATTAAGTTTTCCTTCTTGGTTTGTTCCCGTCGTGGGGTCCTATGTAAATAAAAATTGCGGTATCACCATGCTGATACAACAATATGATCTCCTTCTACTATTAGGCCACATTTGACGATAACCGCTCAGATTCTCAAAGTATCCTAACATTTTGCAACTTTAATAACGTCGTTATTGTCCCATTATATCGCTGAGCATGTTGGAACTCAAAAGGTAGCTTTGAAGCATGTAAGTTAGGCAGTCAGGATAACGAGAATAGAATATTAGTGAGACCAGCGCTTAGGACGTCGATGTTGTTCCTCACTCCATGAACATGAATTCTAGCTTTTGTGTGCTCTTTGAGCAAAGTGACTCCATTGCAACTCTTTAAGTCTGTTCGTAGGCGGCTTTTGTGCTTACTGGCTGCTGAAAATCAATTCTGTCAAAATAGAAGAACGAATCTTTTATGAAGTAATTTCCTGCAGGTTTGTGGCATTGATGTTTCCGTTCCGATATTGGAGCATAGAATTCACTCCTCGCACGACATATGGTATCGTTGCTATAGTCGCAACTATTTATGCAGTTTACGCGAGCGCATTTCTTATGGGTAACTCTTCACGATAATCACTACTCCAGTCAAAAATTAACTTGAACTTGCAGACGGGTGCGACTTTTCCTACAGCCATGTCCTCACAAAATGGGAGTACGGTGCTCAACCGTGCGCTCAGCATCTGCTGCGCTATATGGACTTCTACTATGACAGTAGCCTTGTTGTGGCCTTCACTCTTATTGAACTTCTTCTTATTGCACGACTGATGTGGACGAAAAAGGTTTATATTTCTCAATTTTATGTTAGAAGCGAGACCATGCTGGCGAATAGTGTTACCTGGTGTTCGACCTGTCTTAAAACACAAATCATTATCGTCTTTGCTTTATTTCCTATGTTTGAATCGTCCTTCCTAACAATGCAAAGCGTAGGAATAACGGCATACCAAGTTGTGGTCCTGGACGGATCTTTTTAGGAGGGAAATGTGATATAATGAGATTCAAGATAAGTTGATAACTTGGACGGTAGTTAGTGCCAAACACTATTTCCCTCTAATCCCGATCTGAGTGCTTTATTCTTTCTGCATGAGCGGGTAAAAACTTGGGTTCTCCTAACATACTTCCTCACGTGCCTATCCTTTCTAGTAATCCACGATCTGGAGCAAACCTTTTTAACTCGTTTCATTATTCAATAGATAGGTCAGTTACTACCACGCATTTGCATGTTGTCGTGACCGTGGTGCGGGACTGAGACTGCATCGGTGGTGTGCACCACGAATCGCGGCAAAAATGCGGGAGATAAGGGTGCCCGCTGCACCTCAGTAGGGAAGGACGAGTGCGCCATGAGAATGCTCTTCAGAAGTGTGACGAATGTGTCATCAATTGCCTGCAGCGGGAGATGTTTGTTGTAGTGGGCCTGCTTCCCTGCTCCACGACGTGTGCTGCTGTGCCTGATAGCCGGATGGACTGAGGACTCTGTCGATCATCTGCAGAACCGAGAAGGAAAACGGAGAGACAACGGATCGACGAACTTATAATTAACGTGTTAACATGTGTGTGTGCGACTACTGCGGCGTGTGCTAAAGGGAATACGCGAATGATGAGCGAGTAAATAGTTAGCAATTAGACCTTATAGTTTACATGTTCATGTACTTCGAATATACCGAATGGATTAGCATGGTGGTGAACATATACTACACATTACACTACGATAACTAGGAATAAGATAGAAGGAAAACCGAATAGAAAATGGTATGGTGGTAAAGATGTGCATGTGCAATGTTATCTACAGAAATACAAGAGATCTACGATGGCAAGGGTGGAGTAAACTAAGAGGTGATAACTAATGAGATCT